GTTGTTTGGAAAGCTGTGATAGGATAGCTCAATCAGGAAGTCAGTCTAGTTTAGTATCTCTTGTACTTGTTGTGTCGGAGCAGTGGTCATCTGTTCATCATCACATGTGTCATTAAATCAGCATTTAAAGAATGAGCTCTCTGATCCTCAAATGCTATCACTGTCTCCTTTTTAAATCTTTCGTGATCATCCGTTGTTGTCACGCCAAATCCCAATTCTTGATTCCTCATGATGAGCCTTTTTTAGTTCGTCCATGGCAGTCCGCGCACACACGTTTGCCATGACAACATATTTACTTCTCGGTCGAGATGCTCTTCTCATTTTGGCTGATTTACAGGGGCCCTGATTACAGTCTGTTTACTGGCAATCGTAAACACAATGACAACCTGGCAGTGCTTAAACATCTAAAACACTGTTATTATTTCTCCATCTAGCAAGAAGACACAAAGCGTAATCCTGTTTTTCGGAGCTTGGTTATCTGCCTCCACCACACACACACACACACACACACACACACACACACACACACACACACACACACACACACACACACACACACACACACACACACACACACACACACACACACACACACACACACACACACACACACACACACACACACACACACACACACACACACACACACACACACACACTGATGTGTCATCGACTGGGCAGACTTGGAAAAAAAGGCAACATAGAAAAAGAAAGGCAGTGAATGAGAGAGTCACTTCTTAGGCAGAGGCTCAGTATCTGTCTGGCTCTGCCACTGTGTGTATGAGCTAATTATTCAGTGTTTTTTAAGTGATGAAAGTGTTGTCAGGGCAAAAGGAGAAGGCATTCAATTCACTCCGTGTATGATGTCTTTGGCTAACTGAGTGGAAATGACAGTTTGGTTCTTTAGCGCTTCAGACTCAGACTCCTTCACCGCCTTTAGAGACGTGAAGAGAGAAAGAGAAACGGCTGGAAGGGGTAATGTTAAAGTACTGTTGGCCGAGCACACTGCAGTGGCCTGCCAAGGCATCTCTAACTTCATTTACAGACTCTTCTTGACATTAAAGAAATATATAAAAGTGCGATCTGGGGAGGCAGTAAGTGATCGCTTGGTGTCGCACCATGTGCTAAACACTCTGTGGCTTGGGTTGGTGTCAAATCAAAGATAGCATCAATAGACATAGCCTGAAGTGCTCATGAGTTCCTTTTTGAAAACTTGGCAAAAAGTGGTCAAATGTCTGTACATTCAGTTATTTGAATGTGACTTCTCAGTATGTCCCATAAGCTTCGTGTCACACACGTTTCTGGAGATAGAATGTAACTCTGACTCACCTGTGATGACAGTAAGTGCTGGCTCTTCCTGGAAACGAAAGGAGCTGCGTAACAACGTGATGATCTGTTCTATCATGCTGACCTGCTCTGCGGTTGTACAGGTCAGCGGCGTAGCAGATTGTCTGCTACGCTACTCTGGTTCTCATCAGGTGCTTTAGAGGAGATCCGCTTAGCTCATTTCCTTACTTCAACAATTGAGTTTAGATGTGTGTGTGTGGTGGAATAATCTTCTCATTCTTCCTTTTTTACCATCACTTTCCTTTAAGCCTGGGTTTATACATCCAAATTAATAGCTTTATTAATTAAATAAACTTTCACATTTTAGAAAAATGCTTATTTGCTCTCCTTCTGTGAGTTAGATGAGATTATTGATGCCAGTCTCAGATAAGTGGTACTGTATACATTTTCCCTAACCCTAAGCTGTTCCTTTAATATACTGTCCCTTCCAAACACCTTATTAAGTTGTTGGTCATGGGAAAATTGTCAAACTGTTGAGGTCCTATTTTTGGATAGGTGTGATTTTTGGTGACCTAACACTTGACGCTTATTCTAAGTCACTTTGGATAAGACCACCAACCAAAAGCCTGAAACGTAAATGTCCTATAAAATGTGTGTTTATTTGTCTGCCTAATTCAGCCCAGCCCTTGGTTTGTGCACCAGGGCCTGCCTTGTTTATTGTTGGATGTTGCTAACAACAGCACCAGATGGTAATGATGATAGTCAACCACTCTCCTCCACAGTCGTCTTAACAGGTGTAACCTCACTCCCTTTCTAATTTGTCAGTCCCCGCTTGTTTTCTCTCATTTTCACCAAACTAGACTAGTTTTTCTTTTTTTGACCTCTTATTGCTCTCCCTTCATTACCCCGCGGTGATGTTAAGTGAGCTAGTATTTTTGGACTTCCAGGATGACGCCAGAAACCATCAAACTTCTTAGCTTTCCCCCTGTCAATGGAGCACTGGAGCCCGAAGGCAACAGCGACTGAGTTTTCAGCAGCGCTCCCGTAAAGCAAAAAACTAAAATAAATAAGGAGAAAAGCAGGATAAATAATAAAAAGTCCTAATACTATTGAGGATTTATTGAGTCTTTGGCGCTGTCCTTGTTTTTTTTTAATGTTTGAGGCACAGAGTTTGGAAATTGAGTTTTTGTACGCATTGAGGTTCCCAAGGGCAGGGACTGGATCTTACTCCAAGGGTGGTCTTCGATATCACTTATTTGATTGTTCTATAAGGATTATCTGTAAAGTGGCTGCCTCATACGGTTCGTTTTTTAAGTTGCTTCCTTCTTGATTCCGCAACAACCGATCTATACACCGAGCCCTGCCGCAGTAAACACTGAGCTAATATATTTTGGGGCGACATAAACAACACAGGAAAACAGTGTAATTGCCTGTAATTACAGAGCTGTGATTATAGCGATGCATATTTTTACACAGGACCATTCTGCTTCCAAATACAGGCAACAATCCAATGAGTAGATAGAGATAGAGTGCAGAGATGATGCCTTCACAGCCTTCACCAATCTACCTGATATTCAAAATCTACGCCAAAAAACAGCTGCTTGAGAAATGGCTAGGAAATAGAGAATAAGAAAACATGAGAGATAAAGAAGGGATGTATTACATCAAGGGCTGTGAAAAACAGCTTTGAAAACGTGCTTATTCTTGACATAGCACTGAATCACCCCTTACCAAAACATAGACGGGAAATATTCCATTTGTTTTGGCTGGGCTGCATGAGAATGGTCAGTCTCTACCTGGATCACGGATATTAGAACAAATTGCTGCAGTGACAAAAGTGGCGGACAGAAATTGAGGGACCAAAGGAATATCCATGAAGGAAAAGGGACCTGCTGATAAAGCCAGCTAAAAACAGCGGGAAAGATAGGTCAGCAGGGAGTTGTGGCCAGAAAATAATGTCTTCGGAGCGCTTTGACACACTGAAATCTCATTCTGTGGTTCTGTATCATGTCCTTATCTCCCTCTAACACATACACATTCATATCATCTTCTGTCTAACAACCAGGAGAAAATAGCTGAGAGTGAAGTCTATCAATCTCTGTGGAATACACCTATTACAGAGCGAACAGGAAAACTACAAGAAATGTCATTATCAGGCTCGTATTATCCTTTGCAAACACAGTTCTGTCAGCAAATGTTGCGATACATGGAAACGTTTTTTGAAAACCAAGGGAGGAACAGAGCAAAGTATTGGGAATAATTAGGCGCTTGTGTCAGTTTGGATCCAGATCTTTTGAGTGCATGAAGGGTTTTGGCGAGGTTAGAGGTGACGAAGCAGAACGGTAAAATGTTGTTTGCGATTTCTCCCAAAAGTTCGGAGTCTGGCAGTCCGTCTCTGTGGCTGTCTGCAAGGATGCTAAACCCTTAACACAGTGTCCTCGCGCAACCTTTTTCCAGTTTTAACAATCACGGGAATGAAATTCCTGTGAAAATGAAGGGTGTAGATTAGCATAAGGGAAAGCTCAGGGACGCCCGTCGAATGTTGTGTTGCAGTAATGGTGGCTTAAGGAATGGCTCGTAAAAAACGCCAGCTCAGGGTTAGTCATTCGCTTTACTGTGAAAAATGGAGTTAAGGTTTCAAGACACTGACTGTCCCTGAAGTGGCATCTAGTAGGCTGAAAAAAGAGTCAATGCAAGGAAGCAGGAAGTCATTGTTGAGGGAAGCGCTTGGTAAAGATGAACTCTTTGGTGCCTTTTGACTAAATGGAAATCCTGAGGTAGTTCTTCAAAACGTTCTCGCATTGATCAGCCATCTATACCTGGTCACGTTTAAGTTCTAAAAAGCCGTTTGTTTAGTTTACTTAAAGAGAGCGCCTGGAGGCTGCACGGCTAAGAAATCCAGATGCTCTGCTCTATTTTGATGCCTCGTGAAATGCCAAGACTGTGTCATCATATTGACTGCTGGGCAAAAAGTCTGTAGAACTAGACCCAAGACTGAAGACAGGTTCAGCGCAAACTCACAAATCAACCCGCACACACACGCCAATGTGCACATGGCCTTTCTCTCCGAGTGAACATCACGCTGAAGTAAACACGCCGGTTGCCCCGAAGTGAAGTTCGGTTTCATTATTTAATTACTGCTATTTCCCCTCTAATGTTTTACATATGAGTTAGAGATTGCTCCCATTTGAAAAGAGAAAAAGGAGCAGACATCCATCTTTCTCTCACTGACTCACTTGCTGCCCTTTCATTCCCACTCACATCTTTTACGCTCAGTCATTTTCAATCTGATTTCCTCGGACAACTCAATTACGTTGGCCGGGGCCCATTTGTTTTCGATCAAAATATTAGCGAATGGAGTTTATGAGTCATAAGAAACATCTTTCAACTCAATCCTATTAGTCACCTTGTTTTTTGACGGCTTCTTGCAAATAGTCCTTTTTGTCCAGCGTCTTGAGTAAAGAGAGAAAACAGAGCAACACATGTTTGCAAGGCACAGGGTGTACAGTACAGACCTCACACACACACACACACACACACACACACACACACACACACACACACACACACACACACACACACACACACACACACACACACACACACACACACCTCCTGAGCCTGTATGTTCTGCTACATTTCAATAAGTCCTCATTGACCCTAGAGAACTCTGCAAAAATAACCTTTTTCTTTTTTCCTTTTTGTCCTTCTAGAAACCACAGACCATGGATCAAGTAAATGTGACAAGTGAGTTTCTTTTTTTTTTTTTTACCAAGAGCCAAGATCAAATCCTTTATTTTTCAATGGTTACAAGCTGAACTTGACCTCTAACTCTGTTGTGTTCTTTCCTGTGCGTGTTCCTCTGATCATCAGTAGCAGCGTTGGCGTAGGACTTGCGCAAAAGGAAAGAGTGAAGGGCAAGGACGAGACGTACTGGAGAGAGATCAACGCCGCCATGGCCTTGACCAATTTGGCGCAGGGTAAGGACAGCGCCTGCGGGACCACCAGCTGCATCATCCAGAAGTCCTCCCATATAGCAGAGATCAAGACTGTCAAAGTGCCGATGATGCATAAATATTAGTGCTGACATCATCCTCCCATCTCTCTATGCAAACCAGCAAACATTCCTGTTTCACCAAACTTACCGGAGTCCAATTAAACTCCCAAAGAAGTGAAAAGAGAACTGTCGTTTACAGAGGGGGCGAGGAAGTCCGGAACACAAAGAGAACTCGTTCTTTTTTGTATTGGTGTATCTGAAAAAGTACACAAGGGGCCTTGACCATCATTTTCTTTGCTGGGTTGAAAGACAAACGTTGATGAGTTTCACTGCAGTATTTCTTAAGACAAGACACTTTTGTAATGTTAACTTATTTTTGATGAGTATGATTGTTTTATGTCCTACTTTTTTATTCTACAAAAAAAAATGTGTATTTTGCCAAAAGTGCCTTTGTTATTTAGACAAATAACTTGCCGACTGTGGTCAATGCAAAGTACAGATAATGATGTGCCTCTTTGGAATATTTTAGTATGTTAGGTCATGATTCAGGATTGGTTTTGTGAATGAAACCTACCTACAGTATTACAGCCTGTGCCTTAAGGACTGAATGAGCTCACCATCTAAGGCACTGACACACACACGCTCTCAATATTTCGCTTAAAGGCATTGCGCCTATTTTGACTGGAGTCTTCATTTTGACTGTAAACCAATCACTGTTTTGTCTTAGCCAGCCCTTTGCTGCTGGCAGGCCAACAATAACTGTTGGATACGAACGTAGATAAGTTGCCCTAACGTGAGCAGCAGATCTACAAGCAGCAAATATCCTCCTCCTTGTCCATATGTAGCTGGACCCAAATAAAGTCACGTTCCCCCACACAATCTCACAGATTTACATACAGGCTTTAAGGTTGAGTATCTGATCTGACAGAAGAATGACCTGAAAGGGATGTTTTTACTTTGCATTATCAGTGTTTTATGTGGACAGTGTTGCCTTTTGTGCAAGATAGTCTTGAGTTAACGAGAAAAGAAGTCCGCCACCAGCCTTTTGATCCTCAGTCCTCTCAGCTGTTTAGCATTACATTCAAATTGCTGTTTACAAAAATTCGGAGGACAGACTTAAAGGTTTTATTTCCTCCCCCCTCGCTTTCTTGTTTTGTTTGTCTTTGAAATGCATTTCAGTATTATCTATTTGTCAGCCAAGCAACAGTTGGAAGTATTCCTGTTTGTCAGTGTGAATATGTGTGGTCGTTTTGTTTCTGATCAAAACTTTTTTACCTGGTTTCACTTAACCCTACCACATTTTGTCATCCAATGGAAAGACACTCCTTTCTAGAAAAGTACTGATGCATATGTTATAAACGTTTGCGGCGAACGATGCCAAGTTCTCAAACTGGGGGAAATCGAGTTGGACTTATGGGAGAAACTAAAGTTGGCTCTGTATGCTGACTTTTTAATTGTATGTATATCTTTAAGGTACTGTTTATGTGTGTCAAAATGTACACTCCTCCATAAATGGTGCAGTCTTTCAATTTTTTTTGACAACCCATACTGTGCTTATGGTCAAGGACTTTGAGAGGGAGCTACACAAAGTGACATTTTTACCTTTTTTATGTCTTGAATGTGCAAACTGGTAAAAATAGAAAGAAAAATCTGCACTTACAGTTTTTGGTTTTCAACCAGAAAACACACAACCTCCATTGAGAGCGAATGGTGTTTTTACACAAAGGTGAAAATAAGTTAAAGGACTACCCTGTGTTATTCCTGTTGGCGTGCCTATGGAGATATAATGAAATCTATCGCACTAGCCAATCCCCAGGCACTATTTTCTTATGCAGTGGGGGTTGAGGGCTCCCACATGTGTTTTTTATACACCTGATCCAGGCAGGATAGCTGTGGGGTAGTGCCGGGCTGCTCCTTGTGTTTTTAATCTCACCTCTGGACCACTCGCGACCCTCACACCTCACACGATACCCACTCCCTGGGAAGAGAGAGAGGGAAGGAGGCTTCGGAGACAACAGAGCAGCCTTTGTTGTTCCTACCTGAACTCTCTCCCCAACAACCTCACCATTTCTAACAAAGGGATTTCTACGGCCAACATGTTGGTAATGTACACGCCTTTCACCGGCCCTGCTTTCACAACCAAGCTGAAAAATAGAAAGCAACGGTATGTATTAAAGCCTATAAATTATTATTGCGGACTTTGTAAAAAAGAAAGTGGTGACCATAGTTTGTTTTTTTATTGTTAAGTTATATAAATTGAGATTTTTCTTTTTTTGTTTGTTTTGATAGAGACTGGATAATCAATCCAATGACCAAATGCATATCTCCTTGTATTGTCCAAGTTGCCCTTATGTAACATTTCTTTTATAAAACAGTTGTTTCTTGGTCAAAGCAAATAATGAATGAATAAACCTCTGAATGAAATGATGTGTTTGTTAGTGTTCTTTTTATTTTTTAAATCTGGCTCCTACAATGCTAAATGCTCCACTATGTTTACCAGTTGCTGCTGTCTGTCCACTGTTTGTTGCTGACAAGTGAGTTCCAGAGTTTTTTAGCAAAAACATTACATGTTGAATACCTTACATCAAATCATGGCATACGATCCGAAAACAGAGGAACAGCAAAGTAGGGAGATAACTATAGAAATCACTTATGTCAGATGTAAAGTAATTAGATAACACACAGTTGTTAATTATTTGGGACTTTTACCTTGAAAGGGAGGGCACTTCCTTTGTTACTGCTATCACTTCCTGTAGGTACAGGAAGTCCTTTTTCCATGGAGACAAATGGAATTAGCATACAATGGGATCACACTGCAGAATCTGCACCAATTCTCCACTCATAGCCTTCAACCCAGCATTATCAGTGAGTGAATCTGTTCATGACTACCTTAGCTGCAGCTAAAATATAGTTGTGTAGTTATTTTTGCAACAACATGACCACATGGTATCTGAGCTACAGATTGCTAATGCTAAATCATGTTAGATAGCATAGCCTACTTTAAAATACTTACCTGTATTAACCAGGTCTTTGTTACACGTGCAAAATAAGCACTTTAAAGGTCCCATGTTATGGCCATTTCTACTGATCATAATTCCATTGTTGAAGTCTACTAGAATAGATTTATATTGTGCAATTTTCCAAACTCACATAGGTTTGTCATACAGCATCTCTGTATAGTATGTGTATTCACTGAATTTCACTCTTTTACCTCATTCACACCAACGCAACTCCGGTACAAGCTCCGTGCTAGAGCTTTTCAGGTTCAGAACCGGTTCTTCGGTTTAGCTCCGGCTCTTTTCACACCGCCCAGAGTCCGACCGGTATTGCGTCATCGTTTGCGTCATGACGTAACCGTTTGCGTGCCTGCTTCATAAAGCCAAACCGTGCGGAAACCCCTCACAGCTGACACCGACAACAACAACAATGGCCGATTGTGCTCCAGCTTCCTCTGTACCTCTTCGGAAGACCAGATTCCCAGTATGTAGCTGGTCTCTTCAGTGGACCACTGCTGCTTGTTAAGTTTCTCCATCGTTTTGTATAAACTGAATAAAACGCGGGCTTTTTGTTGTTGTTCAGGAGTTGATCCCGCCCCTGCCCCCGCCTCAATGTAAGCGTGACGTATGTGGTGCTTTTGCTCTGGCCGGACAATTTTTTGGTGCTCGAAATGAACCGGATTCCGGAGCTACTGTAAGAGGCTGCTCCGCTGCGTTGTGAACAGGAAAACCCGGTGCTTTTCAAGCTCCAGCTCCGAACCGGCCCTGAAACACCGTTGGTGTGAATGAGGTATCTGTCCTAAACGCCTTGTTGGAGCTCCTGCCCCCCCCTCTGTGAGCCCAGTGTGCTCTGATTGGTCAGCTCGCCCTCAGGCTCGCTGCTGCAAGGAGCTGACAGTGTGAGTTGGCTTACTGGTGTGGTTTCCTGCTTGCTGCGAGACAGCGAAACAGCGCGAATGGACGCGGGAAGGGGGGGGGGGTGCTGAGGGGGCTGCACTAGCACCCACACCCCCAAACACGGCGCACCTATAGTGTAAGCGCGTCACAGTTTTGCCACGCTGCGAGGCTCCACTTGCACCCCCCCCCCCCCCAGCGCGTCACAGAGTGTGTGTGTGTGTGAGGAGCTCCACGGATTGGTCAAATTGGGTATGGGCACGTCACCATACCAAGGAAGAAAACAATGGAAAAAGAAAAATCTCCAACGAGGCGTTCTGGGGCAGCATAGACAGGTCTTTTCTGTGTTAGAGTTGTACTCGCTACAGGGTGTACTTTGAGGGTTTGTGACTCTGCAGACCGTTTACATGCATAAAAACCTTCATAACACACAAGGGGACGGGTAATAACCGGAAAAGCATGACATGGGACCTTTAATTCTGAAAAGAGTAAGAAATAATTGTTTTCTGCATACTTCAATATTTCAATTCCAGCCAAATACAACACCTGCTGTTCCTTGGACGATGCCGAGGAGGGCTTAGCTAGCTGTTAAGTTCCTTAAACTCACATTGAGCGAGAACAGTACAACTTTTTTACGTATTTAACACAAGACATACATGATTACAGCTTTAAATACCATTATAAGACTTTTGATTTAATTAATCTTCCCTAAATAGTCTGGTATAAATGCAGCAGTGTCTGTGTATTTGTTTAGAAAGGAGGAAAAGAACAAATTGCATACATATTCTCGCCTGTTGGTCTGAACGTCTAAATTCTAATCATTGGCGCTCGACACTGATCACAATACAGAACATGTTTGTTTACGACACACAAGGCGGGGTGGTTTTTAAGATCTACTGTAAACAAACTAATCATGAGAAGCCATTGGTAGAGTTGAATGTATACACCAGGGTTCTGCGTTAACCACACACCACACATTAGTGGTGTGGGCCCCAGTGTTAGCTATCTCCTGTGTATTTTATACCTTTAGAAGGATGTTGGGCGTTTAACTTTATTTGTTTGACCCGGGTTCAGATCAAAATCTGTGTTTTTAAAGAGCAGTTCAACAGGGCAGCAGCAGCGAGAGATAGATGTCTTAAAATAAAGACTTCCTAAAGTTTGTTTTTTCCATATCCTCTGTCGTGATGTGGATACCTATAGAGAAGTATACTGCCTACATATAATTTGAACTCTTGTGGTATTGTTGATCCAGTCCGATAGCTTCAATAGACAACCGAGCCTTTGTGCAGTGTCTGAAGCTGAAGGTATCTCAGGGAGGCCAGGGGAAGAGTGAATTTATGTCTCATACTTCCTAGGTGTGTCCCTTTCCACGGGTCTCAATCTCACTTCTCTTTCCTGTATATTAATGGCTCTACCATGCCACCGCTCATCTTGAAACTGAGCTTTGCCACAGAGCTCAGACCCGTATTACATCGGGAAAGAAAGCCGAAAATATGATTGCAAGAAGTCATTTTGAAATGACCAAGCTGGTAGCGGCAAATGCCACAAACTGTAAATGCTGCCCAGTGTTGGACGGCCCGCTGTCCTTTGGTTCCATTGTCAGTCAGAACAAATCAGGACGCTTCCTGTTGAGTGGCCAGACACTCGACAAGAGGCCCGCTGGTTTTGGTTGTGAATCAGCTGCCTCTGGAGAGACGGCTCACCCTTAAACTTCGTTTATTAATCCTATCAGGTTGGTTGACCTCTCATCCCTCTCCTCACTGAGCCGCACAAACCCCACCTTTTACTTCATGAGACACACTTTCCATTGAAAAACTAAGTGATATTCCATGTTGCCTATAGCTTCTCCCTTCTTTTTTTCATCCATGCCTCCTCTCTGCGATGCTGACAGATTTGAAAGAACTCGTGGAACTGCACGGCTATCTAAGCGCGGGAGACGGACACGAGCAGATTCTCGCTTGGCGCGGCCCGGGCCTTGACAGACTCCAGACTTCACCTTGGCCATTTAGTCCGCCAGAAACTCAGCTTTACCGACAGCGGGCGAAACCACACGGTATGAAATCCGAGAATGCAGACGTCCTGAAAATCATTTCCCATTTGATGAGGAAATATGACTCCCGTGGCATGCTGAAGTAATTAGTTACATTGCTGTGAAGGATGCTCCAATGAGCCCCTGTTCATTAGAGCCAGGACTTTGTATTGCTTATTCCTGCCCTTGGACACAAATATGAGAGAAATTGCCAGCCCTAATTGTTAGAGTCCTGAAAGAATTGACTGATTAAAAACTTGGTCTGGCCTTGCAATCATTTCGGGACCGGGGGCTGTTTTGGATCAGCTGGAACTTCATGGATGTTTGAGGAGGTGATGCATGCAGGCCACTGCTCAGATCATGGACACTGTGCTAATCACACAGCAGACAAAGGGTCAGAGAGGCATTATTACATTGCAGACAAATTACCCTGAAATTAGCATATTTTCCCACTGGGCATGTCTCTAGATGAGTGCACTTTGAGTTTGCACGATACCAGGAACTTACACTTGATGAAACTATAGGAAACATTAGCTAACACTGCACAGTGCTTACGACGATTACTGACTAAATGAATTACTTTAATGAAGGAGGAATGTGCTGGAAACAATGTGTTATTTCACTATGAGTTCTGCTTTCTGGATTTCCTGCAAATATTTAATATTCTTTGATAATATTTCAGAACATATGTTCAGAATGGAGAAAACCTGTGGGTCCAGGCTGTTCTTACCCAAGTAGGAATAAGAGCCCTACGCCTTTTTCTGGATTACACATTGTGTGTCAGACAAGACCTTTATACTATTATATTATTATTATATCAAATCATTCATTTCAAAGTGAGCAATGCCTTTCTTGTTTGTCTTCTTGATTCTATTATTGTGTTCAACCTGTTTTTCTGCTCTTCCTTTGGACCCAGTTCTTTTGAGAGGCAGTTTCTGAGTCTCCTCCGTGTTGAACTAACCTAAGGCAGTTGAAAAATATTTCCTGTCTTCATTAATCATAATAAACTTCTTCTGAAACCACCAGAAACAAGAGGGAGAAAGCTGTGCTTACACGGAACCGCAAGTAAATGCTGCTTTTGGCCAAACAGGGACATGCCGGCTGTTATTCCAGGTGGACATCATCTTTATGTTGTGTTGTGAAAGAGTCTGGGTCTGAAAGGGAAAAATGTGACACATGCCAGTTTTAAACAAAAAGGGTCAATTGCTCTTGTAAGAACAGTCTGTGGAGGCATGCACATTGTTCTGACCTAAGAGCATTGGGAAATGGATAAACGTAGATGGTTTAGAAACCCTCTGCTCAGCTGCCAGAGTAAACTGCTCTCGCTGAAAGGGAGACACACTTTTCACGAAATGGAACAGGAATGGGTCTTTGGGGGCGAGGGAATGCAGGAAATCTCTGCTTTGATACCTGGTGTCGGGTTTACATGATTTCATCGACCGCAGTTGATCGTACATGCGCCACGTTGTGTTGTCAGCGAGACAACGCTTACACAAACTCCAACC